ACATACACATACCTACATAGATACATACACATACCTACATAGATACACACCTACATTTATATACACATAGTTTGTGGACAGACCAAAGCTTTCATATATACACACAGAGCCCCAACAACCTTACACATATACATATATGCACATATGTGGTGGATGGAGCGAAGCTCCAGCAACTTTATTTTTTCCATTAATCCTTTTTATATTGCTTAAAACAAAGTTCTCCACAGAAGAAAAAGAATTACTTTATTTTAAAACAGATAAAATGTTACACAAGAGGGAGTTGGGTACAGCAGAATTGTTGATTATAAGTTCAAAACAGCAGTTTATCTGTCTTTTATTCTATAAGCTCATTACAAGTTCAAAGCAATAGTTTCATATGTTTATGTCCTTACTTTATTATGGTGCACATCTGTGGCCTCAACCTTGAGATGAATATTTTTCTTTGATCATTAATCGGTTTCAAGCATATTTCTCTTCCTAGTGCAGTTGCATGCTTGTGAAACATAAAGGTTCCCAGAGCTCTTTTTGAACCTTCCTTATTCTGTGTGGGGGCTTAAAATCACTTGGATCAATTCAGGAGTTCGATAAAATCATTATCAGGAGTTATGAAATCATCAATTGAGCTAACTAGCATTATTACATGAAAGTTCATCTTCATATCGATTCTGCAGGAAATCTGCCCAACAGAGTGTGTTAATACCCAGGCAACAATAGGCAATGAGTGTCTCTCCAGGCCATGCCAGCCAGATACACGAGAAATACAGCAATGGCAAACATGGAAAGGCATAGGAAAAGGAAGCAATCCTGGCATGAGGTCCCTGGAGTCCATGCCTCTTTAGGGCATACCCATCGCTGCCATGCAAAAAATGGTGGGCTGGATCCAGGAAGTTCACTTGCTTGCCACAGCCTTTCCTGCATTTCCTTCACCATCTAAGTGTGTGCATGTGTCCACTCATGAGTACATGGTTGTTAACAGCACCAATCCCTAGTATGTGGTGACATTTGCTCTCTCACTTCTTCATCTTTCAGTGGATGAATGTGGTGCTCTGATCTGTTTGGTAGTACACGTTGTTGTAGTAGCCTCAGCCACTTCAATAGCTGTTCAGTACCTAGCCTTATAGGTCTAGGGCTTTTGACGGAAAGTTTAGAAGGATGCTTTTTCTTTTTTTTTTTTTTTTTTTCAAATGTGTTGGCTGGTATTGTTATATTTCTCTACAAATGTGAGTTAGTCATTTCAGTCTAGTTTGCAAGCCCTTAAATAAGGTTAAGTATCTCTTTCTGGCAATAGGGGATAAAATAGTGATAGATACCATTATAAGCCCGACCGTAGCATTTATTTTTCAAATACTTATGTTTATTAGTTTTTCTATTTACTAACATAACTCAATTAAAAATGCCTCTGATAGCCTTTTTCCCCTCTGTGAAGTTAGATATTTCAGAAAGAGCTTTCAAATCTGTAGTTTAGTATGGTTTGAAGTAAGAACAACTCTTTATCATCTTCTTCAGTTAAAGGAAGATTTGGAGCAATCAATAAACCAACTGAGGAGTCAGCGCTTACGGAGAAGCTCAGGAGGGAGAAGTGCGTCTGTCACCAGCCTGAGTGCAAGTGACCTCGATGGTGGCGCTGTGGCAGGTAAACTCTTCACGTGTTTCAAAAGCCTTTTTCCTTTTTACATTTCAAAAATATTTTTGGAGTGCATGCTGAAAGGATTTGATTTTTAGAGAGATACAGTGTATGTATAAGATTATGTAGATCTTGAAAATTATATATATACACACAAGATTAGTACATGCAGTTGTGGGAAGTATATAGTGTGCCTTTTTTAAAAGGGTCTTTTTGAGTCTGGGTTTGTTAGTTTTATTTTTCTCAGGCTCCGTAGACCACCTGGAGCTGCCCAAGCTTCAGAACAAGTGAACAAGTGAAGTTTACTTTGTGGTATGTTTTCTTCCTGATCTTGTCCTGGCATAGTAGTTTTAAGGTTTTTAATTATCAAGTACGCTTGTAACATATGGTAAAAGGAGGTGGATTTTAGCCTTCATGCTCAGCTAGATGCCAACGATTGTGTTAAAAGTTATTCAACATTCTGCTTATAGTCAATCTTATATTTCCCTGTAGCACTGAGAATCATATTGAGTCACACACAAACACCCACAGGGATGGAGTGATTAGTTGGATGAACATTGGTACCTTGAGTTATAAATACTGCTATTACTCAAATAGTGATTAAAGTTGGATGCTTACCTATTTTTTATGACGCCTGTTTTTATTGATTGTTAATGCACTGTTTTGGCTTTAGATTAATTGATTTGATATTTGCAAGATTTGATCTTACTAGTGGGATGTTATAGGGAGAATTAAAGATTTTAAGTATTTAATAGTAATTTTCATGAAAGATAAAATATTTTGCTACTTTGGACAGTGTTAAAAATTGGATCCTTTGTCAAGTTCTGTTTGCAGGGTAAGTTTGCTGTTCATTTCACCTGCTTTAAGAGCAATGTTCTTGTGATCTTCATGGCTACAGCATGTTACCTGGGAAGTTGGGCTAAGAGTAACTATGTAGCTCCTTGTCTGGTCCGTAGGTATTAAGTGAACTTTTATTTGTTCTCATGCAGTGTTTTAATTCCCTTTTTCTTCTTTGCATTGAAAAGAGAGTCTCCGTTTTACACCTACCTCACCTCTGAAGGACTACGATCTACAGGGTATTAAACGAAACAGGTTCAGAACTGGTGTTCGGTTTGTTTCAGAGACAGACGACATGGTCCAGGTACTTCATAACATTGTGAAGTTTATCTGTTATACCTTATGTTTGTATATAAATTACCGACATTTTAACTATATGGATGTATCTTAACTAAGAATTTGATCATCAATAACTTTGCATAACAGGAATAAACATACATATTTACAGATTCCAAGCTAGCATCAATATATGACAGAACATACAGTATCTGTCTTTGTGGGTCTGGGTTACCTTACTTAGAATGATTTTTTTTTCTTTGTAAGCCAAATATATCTTATTTTCAATGTAGAAATACTTTTCTATTCTTTAAGATTAAGAGGAGTCTCTAGTGCAGACCAGTCCCACGTACCTCTCCTTTATCCGTATTGTGGACCAGTCCCACGTACCTCTCCTTTATCCCTAGTGCAGATCAGTCCCACGTACCTCTCCTTTATCCCTAGTGCAGACCAGTCCCACGTACCTCTCCTTTATCTGTAGTGTGGACCAGTCCCATGTAACTCTCCTTTATCCGTAGTGTGGACCAGTCCC